CTTTAAACCACTAGGTTTTACCCATTTGATAGCAAGAAGTTTTTAATCATTTAAAATATACTAAAAATTAGGTATGATCACTTTTTCTTTTATATTTTAATAAGCACAGTTCAGAATAAGTATGTTGTTTCATTTTTACAAATATATCTGTTACGCTGAATAACGATGAATGATGATTTCATCCATATTTTGACATTTTATTCTCACAAAAGTTATCTGAAACATTAAAGCAGACAATTTACTTGCATTCATTCCCCCCAAATCATTCAGGCACACAAAGCCCAATATAGTGTATATTTATGTTTGAATTCACTCCTTTTCATTCATTCATATTGAATTGAATTAATTTAATTAATTTACTACATAATGTGTGATGAATGAGCAAATAAGTGAGTGGTTTTGGACACAGCATGCATGAATTATAGAGTACAGTAATGCCTCCAATGCTTTATACTGTCTGGCACGTGTGAGTTCAGTGTCATGGTGAAACAACTTTAGATACACAAAGTGCTACATCTTAAACAAATCTTAACATGATAGCTGAAGAGACTCTGGGTGGTCAGAGAGCTCATCTTCAGAGAGGTGCTCACATCCATGGTTGTATTAAAAACTCCACTGGAGAGCGTGGAAGAGAGCAGGAGAGATACATCACTGAATGAAACTCTCCTCTGTTCAGCCATTAGAAAAGCTTGGCGTGTCCTCCTGAAGCAAAACTACAGATGTGGAGTAACAAGACAGACAGTAACAAGCCTTGCTGGATTGCACAAACCATTCGAGTTAATGATGAACCATATGCTAACTGAACAGACAGTAGGCGACTACATTATCAATATCGATTAGGATAAAGCCTCATGATCTGAAGTTAAAGGGGTCATATGATGCTGCTAAAAATCACATTATTTTGTGTATTTGGTGTAATGAAATGTGTTTATGCGGTTTAAGGTTAACTCTTAACTTTTATAAAGAATATCTCTTTGGATTTGAGACTTTAGTCTTTGCAACTTTACAGATCTTCTTTATGCACCAAGAGCTTGTAACACTCCAAAGAGAAAGGAAAAATTGAAATCGCATCATATGACCCCTTTAAAAGCCTCTAATGCTGTCTGAGCAATAAACAAGAACTACACCAATATTCTTTGGAGTGATTATCGATGCAATGCTGCCCACACACAAAAAATGCTGCCTTTTTTTACTAAGTTGTTATTCTGAAGTAGTTCAATCTTTTTAATGGTCCTTAAAAGGCTAAACAGTTTGAGCAAACTAACAAGGCTTCACTTTGGCCTCAGAAATGCACGCTGTAGTCCAAGTCCATTCGTTAAACACAACAAGCACAATTATATGGAAGAATCTGTACTCTCTATCACTCACCAATCTTTACTTTGTGGAAGGAGGGGAAAAAGTCACATAAGGAATCATGTGCTAGTTTAAAGAATGGGTACAAAAAGTAGGGTAAGATGGGGAAGATGCTATATTAATGTAAAATATTAAATCATATATTTTTATATTTTTAATATTCTAATATTCATGCATTTTGACAATTTACTTGAATAATTGAATAATGACAGAAAAACAGAATTCCATTCAAAGAGATGCAGCTGAATTACACTGTATGATTCCAAATAATGATAAAATAAATTATTTGCTTCTAAGTAATTGAATTATTGAACAATCCATTATTTATAATGATATTTAAATTAAATAATACAAATTCTTCCACAAACTAATTTGGAGGAGGTAATCTTACCCCAAAGATCTAACTTTTAATATTTCACTTTAAAGTAAAACATTTTCTACCATAACAATTAATGACTGAGTAAACAAATCCCCCATTAACAAATTGACATAAACTTTTAACAGCCAACACAAAACTAAATTCATAAATCATTACTATCTTCTGACAGATAATTAGATAATTTAACCTCAAAACTTTTAATGTTTTTGATATTCAACTATTGATATTCTGATGGAAAAAAAAGTTAAGCACAATTATCATATCATATAATCATTCAATAAATGTATTGAGATGAGATTTAGTGACATGTATGGTCAAGAGGAAAAATTAAAAGTGTGTGTGTGTGTGTGTGTGTGTGTGTTTTGAGGTCACACTTAAAACTGTAAGAATATCACTGCATTAAAAACAAAATATAAAACCATGTGGCATCTGCAAAAAAAATAAAAAATAGATTTTTACATTTGCCAGACCCTTTATCAGAAGTTAATTAAATCACATTATAGTGCATTAACTGTTACACAGCTACACAAACACTAAATGATGCAAGACATTTTCTCACAACTGATTTGACCTTTCTGAGTCATTTTTACAATATTTACATTCAGCTGGTGTAAAAGCATTTTAGTGGATGTATAAAGTCAGTTGCCCTCAAGTTCACACAGGTGTGTAGTTCAGTTCTGTAAACTAAGAACATGATCAACTGATGTTTGACAATAACACAATTTTTGTCTTCATTTCAAACAGTTAATGTATAACAGGTTAAAACAACCAGCAGGGCCTCCGTGCCCAAAATCCACTCAGTTACAGCAGATAAAAAGTCCTATCCACAAACCTAAATATCTTAAAGCAGAGATAAATGTGACAGATCCAGTAATGCAAGACATCCGCTTCAATCAGTTTTTGTTCATCTCTGAACTGCTGACACACCCTTGAAAGCATCCCAGCAGCCCTCCAGAGAGATCACACAATGGAGAGAGCCAATCACAGAAAGACCCTCAGCCAAATATTGACCGAGCAAGGTTCATCCCCTCTCCCAGCCACAATACACAACACACAAAGACCAGAGAAGATAACCCATTCATAACAGATAATCCAAATACAATCCATAAAATCCATTTACAATAACATCATTCTTCACACTCATTAGAATATGCTGACTCACCTTATGCCAGAGATCCCTGTGAGTTGGGTTTCAAAAGCCTGTCTATCTTTGTGCTGTTGATACTCCACTCACGCTGTCACTTAGACTGGGTATTAAAAAGCCGGCCAGGGCTCTGCCTGTCACTCCAGGCGCTTATGAATAATGCAGGAGGAAGTGTGAGGCCCCGCCTCTTTTTGGAGTGACACCCAATGCACACACATGCTGTGAATCCTAGTATGGCAGAGCTTCACTCATGAAAATTAATGAAATCTGACGTTCGTACTGAAGCCTGCTGAAGGGTCCATCATCCAGGTGGATGCTGCACACTGGTGGTGGTTGAGGAGAGACCCCCCCCCCCAAACATGATTGTAAAGCGATTTGTGTGTACAGTAACCCACAATAAAGCGCTATATAAATGCATATATATATATATATATATATATTCATTCATTCATTCATCCATAGCCTAAATTAAACTGACTGACCTAAAATAACTTAAGTATAGTATCTTTATAAGGTTTACTTTGCAATATGATTACTATTTTAAAATCTAAATGGTCAGAAATTTAACTAATATTAGGAAAGAAAATGTTCAAATATTTTTTTTTTTGTCAATGGGTGATTTTTTTCTGAGATCAACCAATAGTTGTCCTACCCTATACAGGGGCTGCAGACCGCCCCCCATTGATATTTTTTGTCTTATTAATATTATCAACACCAAAACAGAAATGTGTTACTTTTAACTCATAATATTTCATTTAGCATTTTTACTATAATATTAAAGTCACTTAAATTTTTTTTACACATTATTATTTTCCTTTCTTAAAAATGTTAATTAATTAAATTAATCACGATATATACATATGCTTAACGAAGCAAAATGTAAATCTTTGCAGGCACCCTCTGGATTCCCTGGGGTTCAGTTACATCTGGTTTGGGAATCACTGTTGTAAGGATCCGTTTCCATAGTGTGGCACAACGGCACAGTGGTAAAGTAAACATGTTCATACCAGCACCGTGGAAAATAACTTTTGAAAGCAGCTCAAAAGCATTTGCCAACAGTCTTAAAGGTGTAAAGAGTATTATACCATAGCTAATTGTAGCTGTAACTGACAGCAGCATTGGAAAATAAAATGACTACTATTCATGCGCACGTGTTTACAAACAGAGATCAGGCTACACGTCCGCAACAAACGCTGTTACTGGAGCTCATGTGTCCTGACAGCTGCAGCTCAACTGTGTACGTCCACGGTTCTCTCTTATAACACATTAACAGTGTTTCAAAGCTACTATGTGGCATTTTAAAAAATAAAAACTTACTTTGACTTACTTGAAAATGACATATTGACATGAATTCACGTCTTAACAAAACACGTGTCAGTTTGTTACATAATTCCAAATTGTAACTTGTAACTTACATCTCCCTCCCGGAGAAAAACAAGGTCCAAAATAATCCAATATAATTCACATAACTCTGTTGCTTGCCATAACCTGTTTGTCTGGAGCAGGGGCGATTCTATAGCCCCCCTAAAAATGGCCTAGCAACGCCCATGGTCTGGAGGTAGTCCTGCGTTACAGAACAGCCATATTGTGTGAACGGGTGTGGACGAAATTAAAATGAACTAGACATGACCACACCTACTGTGCGCAAGCCACGCCCACTGAAGGACACGGTTACATGTTTTGACAGACTGCAGTTACAACACGTTCTATTTGTCCGTTTCTCATTTGACTTCTTGTATTGATTAACAACAGAAAACATTAACAGTCAAAGGTTCTCAAATATATACAGTCATATTCTTTGGCTCTAACTATCTATCTATCTATCTATCTATCTATTCCATTGTTGCATTTACCCATATGAAAACCAAAAAACACTCAGATGAATACCAGGAAGGAAAATATGGTTTATTTGTTTTGAAAAAAATCATCATGGTATTGGAATTCATTTTTAAAGGGATAGTTCACCCAAAAATAAAAATTGTCCCATGATTTACTGACCCTCAAGGCATCCTAGGTGTATATGACTTTCTTCTTTCAGGTGAATCCAATCGGAGTTATATTAAAAAATGTCCTGGTTCTTTCAAGGTTTATAATGGCAGTGAAAGGGTGTTATTTTTCAATGGTCCAAAAGAAGTCCAATAAAGTGCATCCATCCATCATAAAAAAACACAGCTCCGGGGGAGTGAATAAAGGCCTCTTGAAGCGACTCGATGCGTTTTTGTAAGAAAAATATCCATATTTAAAACTTTATAAACAGTAATCTAGCTTCCACTAGCTTCTTTGAACTTCTAACTTCTTTTGGACTATTGAAAAGTAACAACCATTCACTGCCATTATAAAGCTTGGAAGAGCCAGGACATTTTTTTTTTTAAATAGAACTCAGATTGCATCGCCTAGGATGCCTTGAAGGTGAGTAAATCATGGGGTAATTTTCATTTTTGGGTGAACTATCCCTTTAATATCAAATCCTTTATTCAAAGGAAAAAATCACTTCAGAGCAACTTCAGAGCACTCAGTTCGTTAAACATTTCAAATGCTGGATAATTATCATATCTCAATTTATGATTATTACAGGAAATAAATAGAGGAGACCGTGTTTGTTCTCCTCTGGACAGTTCTCAATCCAAGTGCATTTGCACAGACAACCTTGTGTTTTATAATGGATATTGGTAAATGTATTTATATTGAAGTAGCTAACATATTAGGTATTACTTTTCCTGTATCTCGTCATAAACATATTACATTTCATTAACATCTTTAGGTTTGCTGTACACTGCCAGGTTATGCAACATCACAACCAGTCGGAATTGCAACGGAAAAGTTCAACAATTCTGTGCAATATCTGGAAAGCTTTAGCAACCAGTTAAGGGGGTTTGCTTGTTTACTAAGGGCCACAATCACTTATTTTGAATGGCCATTAAAGACCAGCAAGACAATGACAAACAACAGAACTGAGGTGGATGGTGGACAACAAATGCACTATAAAAACGTTACAGTAGTCAACACAGTTTCACACAGCTTTAGGTCATTCTTTGTAGAATCAGTAGTTGGAAACGGTATGAAAATAAATGAATGACTGAACCGAAATTTTACAGATAAATAAGGCTGTTATGTGCCTTCACTATTACTTGAGAATTAACAAAAAGATGGTAGACTGTATTTAACCGAACAATATCTGAACAAAGGGACGATGTTTACACATAAACAGCAATGAACACGCATTTAACGTCTTTCTATGGCACTGGAACACCATCCTGATTCTCCTTTGTTACTACAATGAATTTAACATTTTGGGCAAATTCATCCGTTTAACTTGTTAAGCACATACTCTAACTGTTGAGTAGCACTGCGGTTTCTTGCATTGCTTCGGCAGTTTTTCTACGATAGCACTACCCCGACTCGTTCCTACCAAAAGTGCAAATATGGAGGGAGTGATTCCTCCCAACATATCAGTATAGGTAAAAATAATGTCAGTTTAAGACCAAATAAATCACTTTGTTTTTTGTTTTATTTTAAAGTACAAACCTCTCACCCTGTTGTAAACCTGTACAAATAAAGTGATCTTTTGTGCACCTCATGTGATTTGGCACTTTGGACATTTTGTTTTGCATCGAGGTGCTAGTTAGTACACTGGTTACTGAGGGACATATTGCCTTTGAACCGTTAAAACAGTTAATTCCTTAAGCTAAACCTTTAAGACAAAGAGGCAAGAAGACCAATTATATGGTATATATCTAGACTGTTACCAACAGAAGTGCAGACTTATTAATCCTCCTATTGGTTTTGCAGTTGCTAAAACTGTTGGTACAGGGCTGTAATTCATCATGGTTTTACATTTCTGGAGTCCAAATACAATAAGACTTTAGAGAAGTGTGCTTACGAAATCCCAGCGGGCTGGTTCGGAGCGTTTTCTCCAAATGGAGGCTGGTCTACTTCACGCCCAAGAATAACTTTTTCGTTATTGAAAATGCTTGGTTAACAAGAATCCAGTGAGACTCACTTTGGTAAATGCTTTAGTGCCTTCAGCCCTTCATTACCAAATGAAAAACTAACATATATAGTCACTTTGACCAAAGGGTAAAATGTTTGGAAGAAAATAATTGCATCAACATAATTACACATATCAAAAAGTAGATTCTGGTGGGATATGATGAGGTCTGATTTTCCAGATCCTTGAATCAAATGAGCAAGGCTCTCTGAGGCCTTTTAGAGGATCAAAGTTCAAGAAAAAATCTTATAGGAACACAACTTGCAGGTTTCTTTAGGGCCTAAGAGTTTTGATGTATTCATAGAAAAATATATATATATATATTAAATAAAATTTGAAACTGCATGCATCTGAGTACTGCATGTACAGTACACTACCAGTAAAGAGTCAAGACTTCATGCTTTATTATTACTGTTTTCCACAATTTAGAATAATAGTCATCAAAACTTTAAAATAACAAATGTAAATATGGGAATTATGTAGTTCCCAAGCACTGCTGTTGGCTGTTTTTCCCTCACTATGTGAGACACACAAAATAAAATAAAAATACTATTAAAACTAAATATTTTAGTTTTAAGGAATTACTATGTTGGCACAATTTATATTCATATTTACTCATTTCAAGCATTCGCCTGTAGTTCAACAGGTTTTTAAGATCAAGAGGAACAAATCTGATTTGTCCAAACTTTTAGCTGGTAGTGTACTTGAATACTGAACCTCTACACAATTCTGACTATTGTTGATGTGATGAGAGCATTAGCACTGTTTGCAAAACTAATGTGTTCCTTTCATTTAACATGCACCTATGGAAACAATACAGATATTGCACTTACCATTTACATCTGTAATAAAAACCCAAACAAGCTGTGATACTGGGTATTATTGAACTGTCTTCTGTTTTCTCCAGATGGGCTGTATGTTGTGGGAGAAACATAGATGGTAGAGAAACATCTAAAATGGTCTGAAACATGTGTGCCCCGAGGAAGCCTACAACCCATTAAAAATAGCATCAATACAACCTTTAATCCAACCAAAAGCCCTTAATTAAAAATAAACAAAAATCACTGAAAAAATGATTGCAAAAACAATTTTCCAAATGAAGACACACCCAAAGAAAGCAGCAGATATGAACCTACTAGAAAAGCACAGAAATTCAAAAAGAATAAAGATGAAGCAATGGCAGGAGATAGGAACCTAAGGCCTATGAGTTTGGCAACACGCAACTGGACTTGTTTCTTTTCATTTACCGCACACATTTCCTTTGAGAAGAATTAAAAGAGAGGTTACTTTGTTTAACTGACAATGGCAGAAACCTTCTAGGTACCGTGGAAGCCGATTCCAGTGCTAGACTTCCCGCACTAATGTAGTGAATCTATAAGCCAACAATGACTGGTCCGTTCCTATGTAACACGATCCCCATATGAGGCTTCAGGCCCTAAATATATGGAGGTTTTAAGGCAACTTCAGATTAACTGACATTTGTCAATTATTCACCATTTTAATAATCAATCACCCCAATTTCATTTGATCCTATGAAGATTTCCTGTTTAAAACCCATCTCCAACAGGGCAACTATGGGGTTAACCGTGTCTTTTCGCTGTATTGTTGCTGGAGTTTATGCCTTGTTAATGTCACTGTCAGTGTCGTTGGATCTGAGGGAGGAAATGGCCGCTCTTTGTCTCTCAGTACTGATATCAGAGTTCCTCACAGCGCTGTGTGCGGGTCGAGCAGCCCTTCCTGCCCTCATGTGGCTTTCTGCTTCTGGTTGCAGTTGTTGTGAGGAGAGGAGAGACAGTTCTGTTCGTTGGCCTGAACGCTGCTCGGCTGTTCCTGTTGTTTCGTGCGTCTGGACTTCACAGGAAGAACCAGCACCAGCAACACGCAGATCAGGTGAATGCAGCAGTACCACGAGCTAAAGAGGGCAAATGACACACAGCACATTTCATTTGTTGGAACTCTTATGCATGTGATTGCTTATACTTTTAATGCGATAGATAGATAGATTAGATAGACAGATAGATAGATAGATAGATAGATACAGACAGACAGACATTATGTATCTTAACATCTTTAAAACTATAAATTTACCTAAAAAGCAAAATTGCATAAGTTAGGTTGGGTTCATGCTCAAAACAAGTCAAAAAATACTATTTTATATGTGACCATGGACCACAAAACCAGTCATAAGGGTCAATTTTTTGAAATTGAGATTTATTCATACTGAATAAATAAGCTTTCCATTGATATATGGTTTGTTATGATAGGACAATATTTGGCCGAGATACAACTATTTGAAAATCTGGAATCTGAGGGTGCAAAAAAATCTAAATATGGAGAAA